TTGACAGAATTTGTCCCATTTATTTTTATAATAAACCCAAATCACCCGACTGTTGAGCGAATATTGCCCGACTGCCCAACAAACTGGGGGGGGCTGTCACCCCCCCCCCGCCCGGTACGCCCATGCTTCGAATCAAAACTGACAAGTCTTGTTCGAGTTGTATATAGCAATGTAATTAATATCCAAGACTTGACGTCAACTAGACTACAACTTAGTATATGTTGTGTGAAAACTATAAAGTCAAAATATAAAGTCAAATATCGTATAAATGTGTAACTATTTCCTAAGTCGTATGACGAAATAGGGCAATTCAATTGCGATCGTTTTCGAGAACAATCGGATTTATAGATTGGGTGAAGTTAAATTATTTAATATTTTATATGCTGAGTATTTGGAAATCCCGTTTTATTAATGAAATATGCAAATTTGTGGCAGTGCCTGCTATACCAAGACTACATTGATAAGTTCCAGATCTCAATCCATTGCCATTGTATCACAACAAAGTTTTGACCGTCTTTGAGACTTTTTCATTCTAAGTCTTTAATTAAGAAACTATTTATTTTATCGAAATTGAAAGGATGTAAGAGTAAAATTATAGTTCTTTAGTCCACTGTCTTTATTCATACACTTGTATTTGAAATAATTCTCACGAATAAGCGTGTTTATCACATCCTGTTATTTAAAAGTCAAGTTGTGTGTGACAGCTTAATTATAGGTTATGGTTATAAGCATGGTGTTTTCCCTCCTGAAAGACACTATATTTATAGAACGGGTTGTTGACTCACAATCTACGAAAGTTCTTCCAATAGGAAACCAGTCATAGGGCCTTGCCTTGTGTATTGGCCCAATGTTACTATGGGAGAAAACCAAAGTATACTTGGAGAAAACTAGCCTGTGTTTGGTAGAGTCAAACTGGAAGCTCAGTTCTCACATGTGACTGAGGTGAAATTATTACAGATCGTAAAATCAGCTGACTTTCAAGTGCCTACGTATTAATTACATGACTGTGCGTTCTAGAAGTATTTTAATAATTTTTCTTAGAAGAACATATTTGTTCAACGAGTTAATGGTCCGTAGATTGAGTTAATTGTTCGTAGATTTTTTAATTCTATAACTTCGTAGCTTCATTCTTCAACTTCGGACTTCAACCTAAATTTATTAAACTTTGAATCACACAATCCAACAGGTGATTTTGTCAATACATTACCATCTTACTGCTTTCAACCCCATATAGTTAAACCTACTAGAATCACTGATCATTCTGCTACCTTATAAGTGATCTATATTTTTTCAATTGAATTGAACGACTTCAGTTTTAGTAGTAATTAAATATTCTTACTTTTTGTAGTTTTATCATTGAGGATATGTTCATGCAAGATCCGTTTCTGGGGAGAAGAGCCACCTTAAGTTAATGGTAAGAGTTAAATTACATACTATTTTGTATGACCCAGGCAGCTTATGGTTTGGTTTTTAATTCGTTGTAATGCCTACGACCATGTCATGGTGGCCAGTGTATTTTGCATTCAGACAATATTAAGTTTTTCGTATTAAGTTATCTATTCTAATCTCTTTTTTGGAGGGGGTAGAAAATACTGTGAAGGTGATTAAAATACTTCTAGAACGCACAGTCACTCACGTAATCAATACTTAGGCACTCGAAAGTCAGATCATTTTACGAGCTGTTATAACAGCTAGTTCGTGTAAAATTAGCTGACTTTCAAGTGCCTAAGTATTGATTACGTGACTGTGCGTTCTAGAAGTATATTAATCATTTTTCTTTCAAGAACGTAATACGTAATTTTTGCATTAAATATTCTTACTTTTTACTATAGTTTTATCATTGAGGGTATACATGCAAGGTCCGTTTATGTGGAGAAGAGCCACCTTAAGTTAATGGCAAGAGTTAAATAAATTACATACTATTTTGTATGACCGAGGCAGCTTATGGTTTGGTTTTTATTTGGTCGTAATGGTTCGACCATGTCATGGTGGCCAGTGTATTTTGCATTCAGACAATATTACGTTTTTCGTATTAAGTTATCTTAGATACTCTGATCTTTTGGAGGGGGTAGCCTCCACTTCTACTTTTGGGGAGGCCATAACTCCCCTTCTCCTCCCTAGTATCCCTAATAGCCGCCTATATCATATAATCTATATATCTCTCTACAACCAGTAAGACTGGTTGCATACCTAACCAGCGCACAAAGCAATATCGATTTAGACTATTCCACGTTGGTGATAATGACAACAAGGGCAAATAATGTTAGCCAATCAGCGCGTTTGTTTACATTTTGCGTCCTTGACCAATCAGAATGCCTGAAATTCGAAACATGTAAGCAAAAGAGTGAGAAAATAACACCTTGTTCCACGCCCTCGGTGACATTCGATATTAAACATTTTTCGCCAAAACTGACAAATTCTGCTAAAGCATGCTTTCTTCTTTAATTTCCTCGGGGGGATTTTTAAAATTCGATCTAGAACGCGAAATATTTATGTTTGAATAACAGTGTTTCGACGCGTGTAATATAGCAGACTCTCACTTGCACTATCTTTACACACACATAAAAAATTGGTAGATTTGGCAGTTTAAACTTACTTTCCCCACACCACAGCTGACATGTTTTTAAATATTACCTATCTGATCTCATCGATCTCATTTCGCATCGGAAATGCGTCACAACGATCCAGGACTGACAGGTACAATATCGCATGACTCATTACTGTACATTAAAAGTACCCGGTTGGCGAAATTATACCATGCACGATATATTTTTGTGGAAATGACACTGTAATAGTGTGACTCGTCACAAGTCACACTTCTTTACGCATGCGCAAAATTACTCTGGGTCACACTGGTGACACTGGTCACACTGGTCACAATGGTCAGACTAATCACACTGGTCACACTAGTCACACTGGTCACACTGGTCACAATGGTCAGACTAATCACACTGGTCACACTAGTCACACTAGTCACACTGGTCACAATGGTCACACTGGTCACAATGGTCACAATGGTCACACTGGTCACACTGGTCACAATGGTCACAATGGTCACAATGGTCACACTGGTCACACTGGTCACAATGGTCACACTGGTCACAATGGTCACAATGGTCACACTGGTCACAATGGTCACACTGGTCACAATGGTCACAATGGTCACAATGGTCACACTGGTCACACTGGTCACAATGGTCACAATGGTCACACTGGTCACACTGGTCACACTGGTCACAATGGTCACAATGGTCACAATGGTCACACTGGTCACAATGGTCACACTGGTCACAATGGTCACAATGGTCACACTGGTCACACTGGTCACAATGGTCACACTGGTCACAATGGTCACAATGGTCACACTGGTCACAATGGTCACACTGGTCACAATGGTCACAATGGTCACAATGGTCACACTGGTCACACTGGTCACAATGGTCACA